GAAAATCAGCTATTAATTAATGGTTACTTGCTGTCATATAGACTTTCAGTTGTACTGAATTCAACCAAGGTCTGTATTGGATTTCAATACTCTGATTTCTTGTGTGGCTAAAAATCCAAGGAGAATCGGTTGAGTTCTATCAGCTCTAAAGTTTCCAGATCATTTGGAAGCGTATAAATCTTATTTAAAAAAGGATTCTCAAAAATATCAATTATATGACTAAATAGCAATCACACCCACACATATATGTGCAAAAAAAGTGTGGTAGTAATGGAACAGAAATAATTGTGGTAATAATTAAATATTAGAGTAGTAATGCTGGAATTGAAAGTTGTAGAAGTTGAAATATAGAAGGTGAGATGATATCTCTCTCTTCAGTTAAGAAGTAGTATCTTTATATTACCTTGAAATATTAGGAGAAAAGTCATTTCACAAAGATTTCCTTCCTCTTGGGACACTTCTGCCAAATTCTAGTAAGCTTTCCCAGATGACAGCTTATTATTATTATTATTACTTTAGGTTTATAACCCAAGAAGAATTCTCTAGGTTTTAAGTAGTTTACCATAATACAGAAGAAATTCTGTTGGAAGCTAATTTTTTTAAAAGGTGAATTTAAATTAAAAAATATATATGAATGAATCTTTGTGAATGATTCATTTGCTATATTTTTAGCAATTGAAAAACTGTAATTTATTATCCAAAAATCCTTATTTTTTTGTTGCATTTCCTACTACTATAAACCTATTCCTATTATGTCAAAAAAGAATATGTGATGACAACTGAACCTATTTCACATCTAAGAGATATCTTATTGAAAGGAATAAAGAGTTACAGATAGGATAAAATAAAATAATCATAAATATTCTGGTGAAGGTTTCAAATAGAACAGTCATAGACAGCTCACAATAAACACATAAAAAAATTTTATCCATAGTTTGTAATCCAAAACACCTTTCAGGTCTCTCTTGATTGACCCTGAATAAAAGTCTTACTTCAAGTGACAGAAAAGGTCCATTAACGTTGCTCATGCATTGCAACATAAAAATAGAATGGAATCATTGACTACAGGTAGAAATGTGCAAAGCTACTCAAGATAAATATGCTACTTTGAGGCTACACATTCACTCCACTTTTGTCTGCCAGCTTGATTTTTGAATTGGGCACTCATGGATAAAAGGTGTATGATCTGAAAAAATGGTGTGTGTCTTTTAAAAGTCAGTGTCATGTAGTGTCATTCCTTTTGGCAAAATTTATGTTATACAGTATTAGACTATGGGCTGAGCTAATGTAACATGTTACATTAAAAACTGTACATCACAATTGCAATATGTGTCAGAACAATGAATTCTTACATCAGATACCTGTTCAGCTGTAAATAGAGCCCTCTGCAAGGCAATAACAAAAGGATTAGATTATTTTGATGCCTGTATAGAACTCCTATTGACTAAAACACGCAGCTCTCCAGCGTGAATACTCTGTGACCTGTGACCATTTAAGTTGCATGTTTAATACATACATACAATGAGAACACAGAACATTGTGAAAGCCACATTTGGAGGTATTTTTCTTTTCACAGGCATCCTCCAAAGATCCAATAGCTGTATCTTCCTCTCCCCAACAAAGAGAGAAATACATGAAGTGGTAATGGATTCTGTATCAGTTAGAAAAGCCCCTGAGCTGCTAGTAGCAGAAATCTCATAAACATCAGCTTAAATACATGAAGATTTGTTTTCTCATAGAGGATGACTAGAAATAGTCAGTTGCTTGTTTTGATTCCACAGCTAATGATATCAGAACTGCTGTCTCTGAAATTTTTATGTTCCCCTCATGGTTGAAGGATGGATATTTTAACTCTAGGTTTTCCATCAGCTCTCATGGAAGAAGTAGGAAAGGGCAGTCCCCTGTATTTGTCCCTTTTATCAAGAAATCCAAAGCATTTCCAACACCATCTACACTCTTTCCACTTACATGTAATTGCCCAAAATTGTGCACTTGACCACCTCTTGTTGAAAGGGAGGCTACGAAAGTAGGCTGTACAATGGAATCAGGTAAGGAAGAAGGGTTTAAGGAATGAATGTTGGGTAAGTCAGTTAATAGTGTTTAACTTAGATGCCACTAACAATTTATAAACAGAGCAGAAAGCATAGTATGCAGAAGAATTTAAACAATGATAAATTCATATAGTAAAAATTTTAATGTTGACACCTCCTACTTCACACCACACACAAATGTGAATCCTTTTAGAATGTGGATCTAAATGTGAAAGGTAAAAAATAAATCTTCAATAATAAAACATAGGATAATATATTTATAAACTTGTATGTAGACAAAGATTCCTTAAACAGGATACAAAAAGCTCTCACCATAAAGGGAAAAATGTAGTAACTGGACTACTAAAATCTGAATCTAAAATCAAGAACTTCTATTCATCTAATACACCATTCAGAGAGTGAAAAGGAAAGCCACAGAGTTGTGTTATTTCCAGGTTCTGGCTATTATAATCATTTCTGAACATTCTTGTACATGTCTTTTAGGATGCCTATGTAAGCATCTGTGCTTGATACTTGGAGCAAGATTTGTGGGTCTTTGGGTATCACATGTTAAGCTTTCCTAGACTGTCAAATCTTCTTGGGCAGGCTCCAATAGGTACATGCCTGGTGAGCTTCAGCCCAACCTTCCTCCGTGGATTCCTAAGAAGGGTCACACATTCAGTCATAGAAGTGACATGACTAATGCCCTGGCTGACCCTCATAGGTAGTAGAAACATCATTTGGGAAAGAAAAGAAGATTGGGCCCTACCAGGTGACATCAGCTCACAGTGGATATATTAGTTTCCTATTTCTTCTGTAGCAAATCTCCACAAACTTAGTGGCTTTAAACAATACCCCTAGGGAGTGCTTTAAGGTCCAGAAACACTCACCTCTACATCTACTGTGAAGTCACAACCCTAGCTCCTCATGGTATTTCAGGATCAATTTCCACTATCAGTATAGTGAGTTTCTTTATTTTATTTTTTTACCTTGATAATCCACACATATGAGGAGCCCAAAACAATCAGATAGTAGACATAGATTTAGGCTCAACAGAATTCTTACTATTTCCTATAGTTGAAGCATTCTCCATGGAAGCAGGACCTCTAATCTGACAGAGCCTTAGGTGGCACAGACAGAAAAAAAATTCCACAAGTTGGTTCATGGAAGTGATGGTAAAAAGAAGATGCCTATCCCATTTCCATCCCTTGGTTTCTTGATTCCATTCCACATATTCTATATATTGAGGGACAGTATGTCAGCCATTGGTTTGGTGCATATGTCAAATCCTGGAAAATGGAGCCCTAGCCCCACAGTGTATGTAGTGTTCCCAGATTGTCACATTAGCTGGATCTTTAACAGGCCTTTCTACATTTTATTAAAGGTTGCTTCTAGTAGATGAGGCATATGGTAAGACCAAGGAATTCTGTGGACACATTGTTATGCTTCCTTTGATCTTAGGCAATGTTGAGTAAAATGCCACATCAATAAGAAAATCCTTATCTGGATTAGATGCTAATTCTGGTAAGGATAGATCACTGCCTGTATGGAATTGAGATCCTTCAAGAAGCAGATGTCAAAATAGGGTTAGACATGCAAGCATTTATTGGAGGAAATATCTGTTACTGGAATGGAGGGAGAGAGCAGGGGTAAGCAAGAGAACCTCCAGACTGCAACACAGGTGTGATCTGATACCTGTGAAAAAGACGCGGAAAGGAAAGATTAGGTGTAGAGCTTCAGACTGCACTGAAGTTCTTATAGTCTTCACCAGGTCAGTAGGGAGTTCCTGAGCAAAGGTTTCTCATGTTGGACAGGAATCATCTGGCTCTAGTACCTCTGCTGTGCTCAATAATTGGCTGAGAGAAGTCTGTCCTTGGGTGAATACGTGACTCCAAAGTGTGGAAGGCATGGAAGTTGGAGGCTGGCAGTCAACTCTGCTCCCCACAGAAGTTGAAGGTAGACATGGGAGGTGTATTCCTATGGTTGTCACAGTGTACCTTCCAGGGAGGAAGGTGGCCTATGTAATCAAACTTCCAACCAGATACCTTCTGGACTGGTACCGTGGCAAGGACTCTGTATTGGTCTCTACTGTTGGCAGCTTAGCTATGCAGCAATGGAAGTAACTATATCAGCCTTGATGAAAGGAAGCTCATGCATAGGCTCTGTATTAGCTAACTCTTGCCACATAACAAATTATCCCAGAAGTTAATGGATTAAAAAAACAAACATTTATGATTGCTGTTTCCATGGGTCAGGAATCTGGGTGCATTTTAGCTAACTGTCTCTGGCTCAGTCTCTCTCAAGAGATTGCAGTCAAGCTATAGTCTGCAAGTGCAGTCCCATCTGAAGACTCAGTCAGGGGATCCTCTCAAACTCACTCAAGTGGATGTTGGTAGGCCTCAGTCCCTCATCATGTGGACTTTTCCATAGCCATGTGAAGGCATGACATGGCAACTGGCTGCCCACAGTGTGAATGACCCAAGAAAAAGCAGGAAAAGGTGGAAGCCTTTTTTATAATCTAGTATCAGAAGAGACATCCCATCGCTTCTCCACATTCTGTTTGTTAGAATCACATCAATAGATCCACATTTGTGGGGAGGGGTTTACACAAGGGCAGGAATGCTAGGAGGCAGGAATCCTTGATGGCCATCTTGGAGGGGTTTACACAAGGGCAGGAATGCTAGGAGGCAGGAATCCTTGATGGCCATCTTGGAGGCTGCTTACCAGCCTCTATCTCTGCTACAATGGCTGTTCTGTTCATGGACCAGCACTGAGGTGACTGAGGGGACAAGCTCTTTGACATCCATAGGACAAGTCTTTCTGCCCACTTGTTTATTGAGTGCCTCCACAGTACCCTGTGCTCTTTTGTGGGCATTAACCTAAGACACAAAAAAATCACAAGCTTTATGTGTACTCCTGGCCTCTTTCCCATATTTGTTTTTCTGTGATTGCCAATTTTGTTTCTTTCAGGCCTTTGATCGATCAATCAAACCATTCATCACTCCCCAGGAATCCATACCTTGGGCCACTTCACCCTCTATACAAAGTGATAGACAAGTGTCCTGATTACAGTTTTGTAGCAAGGGAAGGATTTCCCTTTCCAAGTGTCCTTTAGGGAAACCCCTAAGTGGGCTATGGTGGAGTAGCAGCCCATATATAGTCACATGAACATACTGCATTTACCTATCTGTGGATGCGGTCTAAACCTTTTCTTTCTCCATTAGAAAACTGTTGTCAAAGAAAACCTCCAGGGAAGCAGTAGATTTGAGTAAAGGGAAATGTATTGGTTTCACTAACAGAGCTAGATATCCTAGGAGACAGGTACACTAATTCATGTAATTTACTTGTGATTTCTGGACCTGCCCAGACCCAATCCCAAATGTACCTTTTTTGCACAGTGGATTACTATTATGCCCACTAACAGTGAATAAGGTAATACTCTTCTGATAATTAGCAGCTTTAGTCCTGTAGTTTCTTGATGTCACATATCAATTCTAAGTTTGAACTGGGGCCCAGAGTATTTCTGGAGTTGTCTTTCAAAAAGAGTACTTCTCTATTATAATAGGCATAACCCACATGGCTACTCTTCTCTTAGCATTTACCAGAGACTCCGCACAGATGTATCCTTATCTCTCAGATACATCAGCATCATTTGACTCATTGGGTCAAATGGCCTGAAGAGCAGGGAACTTGCACTGCAGCCTAGACTTGATGTAGAACACACACTTGCTCTGTGCCCCACTCAAAAGCTGGCAATTTCTGAATTGCTAGATTAATGATTCAGAACAGTATTCCCAAGTGCAGCATATTACTACCCCACTTATTTGGAAAGTGATTCTGAAGACCAGGGCTGAGGAATGAATAAGTGAAACAAGAAGAAGCAAAGTGAATGCAAGTGTGGATTATCAAGTTCACTGTTGCTGGTAACTGCTACCTGGTGCCATGGGACCATCCAAACAGCCTTATGAAATTGTCTCAGAAGTGCCTGCTGCCCAGAGAATGAAAGGTGAGCATTGATTATGGGCCCCTGTTCTATACTACTGGGTTGTGTGTACATGTGTACTGAGCCATTTCCCATGGCTGTCTCCTGTCTCAGTACAGCTCATGGCCCAGGCCTGAAGCAAGGCCTGTCAGGTTATACTCATGCAATGCTGGTCAAAGCCTGAGTGCCACTGGGAGCCACTGCAGTGGCTCCAGTAAGAGGGAGTGCCAAGAGTATTTGAAAAAGATATACAAGTGGCAGGGATGGAAGGGGATCTTCTATATCTCTTTAGAAGAGGTGCAATTCCTAATGATGAAGGAGATATTTCAAGTCTTTCAAGACCTAAATGTAATTATCAGAGATTTCACAAATATACTTTTATCTACAGTACTTTTATTTAAGTTAATCTCCCTAGGGGTGTCTTTTCCAGTTGGCCATCTGGTTTTATTAAACAGAAGTATAATATCAGAGCAAATGCACACTAGCCTCTGCATTAGTCTCATTGCATGCAGGTTCTCTCAGGGTTCCAGGAAGGTAAAAATATGACCAGTATTTTGTTTTAACCAAAATTAGAAATCTATCTCTATCTCATATTTGACTTTTCTTTAACTCAGCAAACACTATGCATCTACAAGGCACTAGGCATTAAACTTGGTGCTGGGGAGGCTAAGATGAATGTAATATGGTCTCTATCTTGAGGAGCTTGGAGTCAGTTGGGGGAGAATAGTATGAAGGGACCATGAGAGTGAGTTCATAACCATGTTAAGTATACAAGGAAAACAACTTACAGGGGGCCCTTGTATTTGTAAGGGGTTACACTATTTGTGCTGTGTTACAATATCTGTACTATTCTTTAATAAAATATTCCTTAAACTTTCAAGATTAGCAATGGAAGAACTGACATTCAGGGAGGAGATGGCTAGACTTTCTTTCTTCTTGTTCTGTTCTGCCAGATTCACCCAGTCCTGGGGATCTCTTTAACCCTCAATCTCAAGTGATGATTAACTTAATTCATTTTAGAGTCCCCTTCCAGATTCATTCCTACAGTTCATCTGAGGCCCAGGCTGGAATATTTAAAAATAACTCAATAAGGTTTATAAAAAACAGAACAAAAGGGTACCAAACAGTGAGAAATGGAGCTTACATAGTTTCTTTCAAATGCCCTAGGTCATCTCCCGGCCTAGATCCTGCAGGCCTTCTATGGTTAGTATCTCCTCCTCAAAGTCCCAGAGGATCAAGGCCCAGAGAAAGGTGGAAGGGATGTTTCTGATTATCTTACTAGCCGAATTACTGCAATGGGAAGGCTCTGAGACATATTGTTAAATGGGAAAAAAAGAATTTTAAAGCAGCATTTATTCATTCAAGAAATATTTATTGAGTAGCTACTGTTAGGGGGAGCACTGTGTATTTTCCTCGGTTCTTGTCCCTGCTGCAACAAAGAATTGAAGGGCAGAGACACAGTAATGAAGCAGAGTAGAAGTTTTATTTAAAGTTACTTACTTAAAGAGAGAAAAGTTCACACGACCTCAGGGAGGAGAGGCACCCTGAAAGGTTTAAGTTTTATTTAAAGAGAGAAAAAGTGCAGGTGACCTCAGGAAGGAGAGACACCCTGAAAGATGGGAAAAAGTCTTAAGGCAAAAAGGTTATGCACTTAGAACATGTGGGCAACCTCAGAGAGAGGAGCACACTGAAAGGCTCAGGGTCTAGGGTTTTATAGGTGGTTGAGGATTTTCAGAAAAGCAACCAAGGGGCAGGTACAGACCTGCCAAATGGTCCCAGAATGTTCTTCTTTGATAAGACATTAAGTTTCTTCTTTTAACTTAACACAAGAAATTTACTATTTTGATTCTTTTCTAGGTTATCAGCTTCTGTCTGGAAACGTATCAGTCAAGACTGTCTGCCCTGCCTCCAAGGTGTGCTGAGCCACCGTCCGTTTGATTAAAATGCAATCTTAGCTTTAAGACGTAATTCTTCCTGAATAAACTGGGCCTTTGAGTAGGCTAAAGTAAATCTTACAATGGTATGTTCTAATTGACACAATGAAAACATAGGCTATGCTGAGATAATTTTATCTGGAGAGTATTCAAGCATTCCAGGCCAAGTTGTTCCTGGCCTTCTGAGCTTTCATACACTAACTGGTTAACTCATTGAGTCCCTTCTAATGGGTTTTACTAGCCTTATTCTCTTTCCACCCCACTCATATCTATTTTCCTGCATAACAATATCTATTTTCCTAACACTGCGTGTATCAGGCATTGCTATGTACTGGGATACAGTGGTAAGTTCAACATGGGCCCTTTTTATATGGAGGTAACAATCAAATATGAATTCATATGACCTTATTAATGACAACATATGCATTTTTATATTCATATGAATGTGCATCCTACAGTGCTCTTCGTTTCCTATTTATGGCCTCCTTCCAAGATGATTATTTATTTAATGAACACTGTAGGTAAAACTGCAGTATTTCCAGAATCTCTTGCCAGGCTTTAGTGCATCTGCATATCAATAAGTATTTCAAGGGGTGGAGAGCAGTGGTCCATCTATATATCAATAGGCAATTACAAGGGCTTGCAGGGGCTTATCTGGACCAGAGAGGTTGGGTGAATCTCTCTTCTGCTGCAGCCTGCTCAAGAGAGAGATGGGACAACTGCTTGTAAGAAATAAATGGGGTTCTTAAACTTTATTTCTCGCTTTGACTGATTTGGGTTTCAAAGGTATTTTGTCCAGGGACTTTTCCCTGGAGTTACGTCTGGCAGTTGTCAGCAGGACCTCGGAACCCAAAATCTGTCTAAATGGGCAACCCTTGGGTGGGCTGCCTCTAGGGATAATGGGGAGGCCCCAATGGCTGTAGTGGTAGAGGGTGCAGCTTTACTTGGGAACTCCCTACATGTGGGGCTTCCAACTGGGGAGCCCCTAGTGGGGAATTGGTCTAGGGTAAAGCATCTCCTAGAGGGATGGGGCCTTCCACAGAATTGGGGAAGGGTGGAAATTCCGGAACTGCAGAATTAGTCTTCCATCAGAAAGAAGACTGTTTAGAGGCCCTGAATGACCGAGTAGCAGCTGGCATTGTAGGATCTCTTTTTGTCAAGATAGTGTTGCCCGGGTTCTTGTTCATGAAGCTGAAGAATGAGCTTCACAAACACTCAAGGTAGGAAAGCAAGGTACAGGTTTTTATTTAGAAATAAAGTAAGAGGAAAGAGCTCCTGGCTCACACCAGGAGGGGACAAGAGAGCCCAGGGTGGTGCTTTTGTCTAGGGGATTTATAGGCAGTTGAGGATTTTTGGGAACTGAGGGCTTAGGGTGTGGACTTGTACCACCTGCCCTGCCCTCAAGGTGGGCTGGGTTGTTGTCTGTTTTCTAGGACTGTTTACAGTGAAATCACAGGTTATGCTCAGATACCCTTGTGGAACACTCAAACATTCCAGGCCAAGTTGCCCCTGGCATTTTGACCTTTAACTGATCTCACTGAAGATGTCTGTATTCCTAGTCTGGTATCTTTATTGTAGAGAATTAGTGTGACCTTGACTTTGCATAATGCTGAACACAGAGTTTTGATAGGGACTTTACATTGTTACATTGCTTTGACTGTAAATATCCTGCCTTGCTTTTTCTGGAGGCCCTCACCCTACTCTGTCTAAGCCCATGGTCCCTGTCTCAATAGTAGAAAGTGTTATTGAGGAGAGAGAGAGACTAGCAGGAGAGAGACACACTTCAGCATCACTTGGAGGAGGTGGATGATGACCTATGGGATACCCTTAAAGAGAGACAGTTATTGAGAAGATGGGTTGCGCTACTGGAAAATTCCTTAGCAGCAGTGAGGGGAGAGGCAGCAGGAGAGTCTGCTTTGCAGAAGGTCATGGGGGAGGGGGAGGAAAGGGCAGTTCCTTCAGCTCCAGAGATGGTGGAGGGCGTGTCATGGAAGAGGATGAGGGTGTGTGGTCAAGGGCCGATCTGTTGCTGAGACCACTGCCTGAGGCACCAGCCTCTCCTGTATTAAAGGCCTGCCTGGTTGTAATTAAAAAAGTAAAAACACAACAACCACAGGCTCCTGAGGGGGAGAAGCTGCCCCCTCCCCAGGTTGTGGAGCACTCCATGCTCTGCACCTCTACCCAGAATGAGCTGATGGACATGAGTGTCCGGTATCAGCAGAAGCCATTGGAACCTCTGCCTACATGGCTTTTGCATCTCTGGGATATCGGGGTGGAAAACATTGTTATGTTGGGTTCTGAAATGAGTAGACTGGCTGCCCTGATGACTCATCCTTCTCTCCAGCAGTGGTTGCAAAGTGCCTGTCACACCTCAGGAAATCAGGTGCTTCTGGATTGGCTGACAGCAGCCATCAGGGTAATCTGGCCTAATCAGGGTGATTTACCATACTTACCCACTAGCTGGAAAATGTATGCAGAGCTCCCACAGGTGTGGGAATTGGGCATGAAAAATATCATCTCTAATATGGACCCCCACGGCCCTGATTAGGAGTTGTTCACTGCAGGAATGAGAAATCTGGTGCTCCGTACAGCTCCTCCATCTCTCTTTGGGTCCCTAATGACTATTCTTGTCCCCCACATAGGACAACCCATAAGTGAGGCTTCTCATTCTTTAGCAAATCTGGGGGACATTGAAACAATAAGAGCCCGGAAGGAAGTATGGGTTACAACTGAAAGGAGAGATGCAGAAGGCCCCATGAAGGTCTCAAGGACCCAGGTATGGGTTGATTTAATAAAAGCCAGGGTAGTGAAAGAAACTTGATGGGCAGCCTGATAAGAACATATTTGAACTGTGGCACCAATTAAAGCCAGAGCAGCAGTTCCAGCCACTGGGGTCCAGGACATGGAAGCCGGAGGCAAGGCCCCATGTCTGGCCTATGTCCCTGAAAGACTTCCCTGGGGACAGTACTCAGGCTCCACCTGGGTCCTCACTCCCACAGGATGATGATTGGGTGTCGCAGTCAACTTAGGGAAGGGTCAAGGCCCCCACCTTGGCAGACTTGGTGGGGATCGGAGACCACCTGTGTAAATAGCAATTCAGTGGTCCCCTGTAAATGTACAGTGTGTCCTGGCACTGGTAGACACAGGAGCTGAATGTTCTTTGATTAATGCAATTATAAATTATGAGTGTTTTCCTGGGACCCTTGCTATGATAGATGGCTATGGGAGTAAGGCAATTAGAATGAAGAAAGCCCAAATCCTATTCAGGATAGGGTGTTTACCCACAAAGGAGTATACTGTGTACATTTCTCCCATCCTTGAATATATTTTGGGGGTGGATATCCTACAGGATATATGTGGTTACAGACCACTGCAGGTGAGTTCAGACTGAGGGGTACATGTGGTAAAGGCAGTTCTGAGGGGACATGCTAAGCACCCACCTGTAGCTCTGCCTGTACCTTGGTGGGTGACAAATACTAAGCAGTATAAAATGCCTGGGGAGCACAAGGAAATTGGTGAAACTCTACAGGACTTGGAGAAGGTGGGCATCATAAAGCCCACTCATAGTCTTTTTAATTCCCCATTGTGGCCAGTGAAAAAGCCAGATGGCTCCTGGTATGGCTCACAGTATGACTGTGGACTACAGGGAATTGAATAAAGTCACACCCCCTTTGCATGCTGCTGTCCCCTCATTGGCAGTCCTTAGGGACACACTAAGCCATGAATTAGGGATGTATCATTATGTTGTGGACCTTGCTAATGCTTTCTTCTCTATTGACATAGTACAGGAAAGTCAGGAACATTTTACCTTCATGTGAGAAGGCCAGCAGTGGACACTCACTGTCCTTCCATAGGGATATCTCCACAGTCCCACCATTTGCCATGGACTCATAACCCAGGACTTGGCCACATGGAAGAAACCACAAATGGTGCAGCTGTATCACTACATTGATGATATTATGCTCACATCTGATTCTCTTGAAGATTTAGAAGGGGTAGTTCCTAGGCTGCTTTAACATCTACAGGAGACAGGATGGGCTGTGAACAGCACCAAGGTTCAGGGACCTGGTTTGTCTGTAAAATTCTTGGGGGTTGTCTGGTCAGGTAAAACTAATTATTCCTGAAGCAGTCATAGACAAGGTCCAGGCTTTCCCTACCGCTACCACTGTAGCAGTCTTAGAAGAGTTTTTGGGTCTTCTGGGCTACTGGAGAGTGTTTATCTTGCACTTGGCACAAATTCTGAAGCCCTTATACTGGTTGGTATGAAAGGGCATCAGGTGGGACTGGGATGAGACATGTGCAGCTGCTTTTACTGCTGCTAAGTGAGCAGTCAAGGCCATACAGTCCTTGAGTGTAATGGACTCATCAAGTCCCTGTGAGCAAGATGTTCATGTAACCGAGGATGGTTATACTTGGGGTCTTTGGCAGTGGCTTGAACAGACACACCAACCCATTGGGTTCTTGTTGCAACTATGGAAAGGAGCAGAGGTCCGATACACCTTGATAGAGAAGCAACTGGCTGCTGTGTACCACACCTTGCTGGCTATGGAGCCCATCACCAGAAGAGCTCCAATGAAGGTAATAACCACCTATCCCATTGCGGGGTGGGGGTGAGACTTGACACAAAGGCCATGGAGTGGTGTTACACCGATGCCTACACTGGCCAAATGGGGCACATACTTATAGCAGTGTAGCACCCTCTCTATTAGCTCCTTAACTCCAACACTTACTGGGGTCAGCGATGTATACCAGTGGAAAGCAGGAAGAACTTGCTTTTGAGTCATTAGTAGCTGAGAGTCCTTATCAGTAGGGAAAAGCCCCTATACCTGGAGATGCTTGGTATAAGGATGGCTCCAGTAGTGGGCAGCCCCCAAAGTGGAGGGCTGTGGCTTTCCATCCTATGACTGAGACAATACGGATGGAGGATGGAGATGGGAAGAGCAGCCAGTGGGCTGACTTGTGGGCAGTATGGCTCGTGATCACCCAGGAGCCCTCCCCTAGTTGTCTGCACTGACAGTTGGACTGTCTATTGGGGCTTGACCCTGGGGCATGACCAATGTGGTACCATGCCAAGTGGATGGTTGGTCACTGGCCCCTTTGGGGGCAAGAGTTGTAGCAAGACCTATGGGCCTCTGGTCAGATTAAGACTGTTACCATATATCATGTGACTGGCCATTTGTCTTTGACCTCCCCAGGGAATGATGAAGCAGCAGACACACTGGCCCAGGTGCACTAGCTAGAAGGAAAGCCTGTCCCTTTTGTAGCTCAATGGTTACATCAGCGTTTGTTGCATGTGGGGCAAAAGACAATGTGGGCTGTAGCCCATTGGTGGGGCTTGCCATTGACCTTTGAAGAAGTCAGCAGAGCCTGGAGGGAGTGCCTTGTGTGCTCTAAGAGGGACTTACACAGAGTCCCTCAACAACATGGGACAATAGTAAAGGGGCTGATACACTTTGTCAGGTGACAGACTATATTGGGCCTCTGCCTGTATCAGAAGGATATCGTTATGCCATGACTTGTGTGGACATGGCTACTGGCTATTGGTTGCTTTTCCTGCATATTATGCAGATCAGCAAACCACCAAGAGGGGCCTAGAATGTCTCTTTGCAGCCTATGGCCAGCTGCAGGTGACTGAGAGCAATTAAGGTACCCACTTTACTGGACATGCATTACAAGAATGGGTACAGCAATTAGGAATAAAGTAGAAGTTTCATGTACCATGTAACCTTACTGGGGCAGGAATGATAGAGAGGTACAATGGTTTGTTGAAATCTGTTCTTAAGTCAGATACCAACAGTCTACAGGGCTGGTCAGTTCACTTATAGACAGTGACATGGCATTTGAATGAGAAGCCCTGAAAAGGAGCCTTGAGCCCTGTGGATATGCTACACACTTTGCTGCCTCTTCTATACAACTGTATGTGCAAACCAAAGAGGAGTTATTGAAGCCAGGATATGGCCAGCAGAGCAACATCCTCCTGCCAGCCCCAACTGGATTAAACCCTGGAGACACTGTTGAATGGATGTGGTCCTTAACATTTTGACACATGGACCAGCGATGGGTGGCCTTTCTGGCATCTTAGGGAAAAGGTCTGGAAGCTGACCTCGTGTGTATTCCTGGAGTAACAGCAGAGTGGCCCCCAAAGATCACAGTAGTGTACCCAAAACGTCTGGGAGGTAAGAGCATCTTATGGGGAAGTTTTGTTTTATCTTTATGGCCAGTGGTGCATGTATCTCCCATAGCCCTATATACTGACCTATCTGTAACACCCACAGGGACGGGGGTGAATGTCTAGTATACTAGACAAGGACGAGATCCCATTCCTGCCACTGTTCTATCACAGGACCATTCTCTTGCATGTATTCTACCTGATGGACAAGATTTGCCTATGCTGGTATCATTAAAGCATGTATCTTATCGCCCTTAAGGTTATTTTCTTCTATAGTCCTTGTGGCCTGGCCCTGCCCTCTGGCTGCGGCTGCCATATGATGATTACTCTGAACTCCCTACCTGTTCAGCTACTGACCGCCTGTGGAATGGACCAGCTATGGATTTAAATCTGCCTAGGACTTTGAACCTGGCTGAAGCCTCTGGCTTGAGGATTATCATGATTTTATTGCTGTTGTTTTTTATGTTATTAGCCTGGTTACAGTGCTCCAGTTTTCTTGCACAGGGGCCATTGTGGAAGACAGGGAACATGTAGATTGTGAGGTGAGATTTCTGGAGGGGTAGGCTGTGGGTAAAATTGTAGTATTTCCAGAATCTCTCACCTGGCTTTATTTCATCTGCATATCAATAGGTATTTCAAGAGGTGGAGAGAAGTGGTCCATCTACATATCAATAGGTAATTACAAGGGCAAGGGAGGGCTTATCTGTACCAGAGAGGTTAGGTTGAGCTCTCTTCTGCAGCAGCCTGGTCTAGAGAGAGATGGGACAACTGCTTGTAAGATATAAACAGGTTTCTTAAACTTTATTTCTCCCTTTGACTGATTTCAATTTCAAAGGTATTTGCCCCACGATTATCCCATGGAGTTACATGACTCCAGCAGGAGATGCTGACTGGAGGTGCACCTCATTTTATGCAACAAACATGTTTTTTTGAAAATACTATTGTCATAAGTTGTTGAGCATCTACTGTGAGTCATGCATTATTGAGCTTGGATATTCATTATCTACTATGTAAAGTAGATAGTATTTCCATTTTGTATACAAGGCAACAGACAGTGAGGTTAGATAGCATACCTGCCCAGTGACATCTGGCCATTAAAGGGTGGAACCTCAAATGTCAGCCCAAGCTTTTGTGTGCCATAAACATTTTTGTAATTGGAATATTTTCGATACACTAGAGGTGATGATTTGCAAGTCCTATCTATGGACATTAACTTTGTGAGGAACTTATCTACAAACATTTTTTGCAGGGGTCTGAGGTAGCGGGTAAGGATTTTCTTGACTGCTTGCATGATGGTAGTGTATTTCATTAAACATACATCGTTTTGCCCCAGATGACACAAAAAAATGCTTAATATAATTTTTAGGTCAATCCGTCCATTAAACGGATTATCTCGCAAAGTCGCGGCTAAACCAACTTTTGATTGATACCGAACTTTCCCAAAACGCCAAGTCTGCGGAGACCGGGAAAAAAGTATAACTTGTGTCCACAGTAAGGAGGGCTATTCAAGCACTAAAAGGAGGGCTCTCCGATCGAGACGAGGGAGGGGAAACTGGTGTAGGCGGGGAACAGCGGGCGCGAGGAGTGACCAGCTCAGGCCCGCGACCCCGGCTCCCCCGCCCTGCCGACCCTGTGGCCAAGTCGCCTGCGTTGCGCCGGGGTTTGCGCATGCGCGCGGGGACGCCGACACACCCGCCTCCTGCGCGCAGTCTCCGTCCACGGTTACCCCGGCTTCCCGCCCCTCCTTCCCGCGGCGCTCGAGGGATCATGGCCGATCCTCGCGTGAGGCAGATCAAGATCAAAACCGGCGTGGTGAAGCGGTAAGGAGCCGCACGCGGCGCAGACCGCAGAGCCTCTTCTCCTTCGCCTCATGGCGGCCCGAGAGGCCCGGGGGAGCGCAGGCCCGAGGCGGGCGTGAAACTGCAGGCCTCTTCTGGGGCTCCACGGCGGGCTGGGACGGGCTAGGCTGGAGCGGGGTGCGCGGGTGCCCTAGTCTTTGGGTCCGGCCGTCCACTCCCCTCGCTTTCTGTTCAAAAACCCACCGTTGGGCGGCGGCGGCCCCAGCCCCGCTCCTCAGCGCCCGCGGTCGGGGGGTGGAGGGGCGGCGTTCCCACCCCGAGGGGGCTGCCGGCTTTGGTCGTAACTCCTGTGCGCCCGCGCCGCGGTCTCCCTGCACAACTTGCAAGGGAGGAGGATTAGCCCCTTACCTGCCCTCAGGTGGACGCGCAAGCCAGTTGAGAGTTTAAAGGGGACGCCGAGAGGCTGGGCCTCATGAAACATGAGCCCCTTTGGAGTCTGTGGTCTGACTTGGCAGGCGGGACTCGCAGTCTTAAAGAACTGGGGCGTGAACTTCCAGCACGTTCTTCCAACTTCCCTGATGCTCGCTTCAAAGCCTGTGCGATGCTACTTAAATAACTACTGGGTGGTCAGGCTAGTAACTGGCCGTCATTCTGATTGTTGTTTGACACTTAAGTGTTCATGAGAACTTTATTGTTTAGACCCAAGAAGATCAAACTTTTTGATGAGGCATTCCAAGAGAAAAGGTAAACAGCCCTCTGAAGAAGCAGGTTATTTTGCAGATGTCTGATGGCTAGCCATCATGCTTTTTCCTCTCTGCCCACCTTATCTCCCTTTATTTTATATTTCTACCAGAGGAAGGACAAGGCAAAGGGGAGGATAAATTCACTTTTTAGGATATTGCATCCTAGACTTTGCAAGCGTTGCACTGTACTTTCCTAGAGCATTATTGCTAAGGCAGGAAGGAGATAAAGTGAATGGTAGTTAAGAGCACAACCTTTTCTGAAGTGAGACTGCTTGGGTTCAAATACTGACTATTGATTAATAGTCAGCATAACTAATAATTTATTATGTGTTGGTAATTACTACATTGCATGGTGCCTCAGTTTCCCCATTTGTAAAATGAAATACCTTGTGCAGTTTTTGGAATAAAGTCCTGCCATGCTTTTTAACACAGTATGTGGCGAATAGCAACTGGCTAGTAAATGTTAACTAAAGTACTGTTTGTATTCCCATTTTACAGAAGAGAAACGGGGGTTTAGTGAAGTTAAAATAGAAAAACTAGTCTAAGATAATTGTGCTAGTTAGTGGTAGAGTAAGGAAAATCATCTACAGATTTTTATTTTAAGCTACAATGCTTTAAAAAGTATTTTTAAAAATGTGTGGTAATAGGGGAATTAAGATGTATAATTGAAAATAGAAATAATTTCCACCGTCTCTCTCCAGAGTTATGTTGTAACTTTTACTAGACTGACTTTGGTTATGTCACCTCACATAATCTAGGTAGGGAAGTAATAATAGAGAATGCTTTAGACTGAAAGTCATGAGAAATAACTTCTAATGGTGGTTTCCCATAATAACCTGTATGATCTTTAGCATCCTAATGATCTATACTCATTTATAAATTTCAGTTTAAGTAGTTATATGGTTACAATACATACTCTAGAGAAAACACACTCATTTAGATAATAAGCTAAGTTCATAGGCTTTCAAAAAAATCCCAAGTTGCTGTGGAAGCTGCTTGGAAATAGTGTTGTCTTTAGTTTATTTAAATAACAGCATTACCAAACTTTAATTGTGATTCTTTGTGCTTTAGTAAATTTATTGTTTTTGTGAAACCCCTTCATAACGTAGTATAATGTTTCAAATTGCTTATAAGTTAATGGAAATCTCTACTACATTTTTTTCATGGCTTTCTGTTGACATTTTGTGTAGGTTCCCATAAGTGCTAAAATGATGTTTTTTTTAGCAAACCTAAAATTTCTATTCCAGGTGTTTATTACTCATATTTTGCTTGGGTAGATAGCCATTTAAATCCATAAATTGTGTTCCTTATTTCCTCTTCTTAATTTTTCTCCTGGAAATTATTTTACTATGACTCTTTCCATCTTCTGCCTTAGTATCCTCTTTTTTCAATTATACGTTTTAGTTCAGCAAGGAAAAAAATAGATGAAGCAGATGCAGCAACGTTAATAATTGTTGGGGCTGAATGATCATGGAGCTTCATTCTGTGTGTATATATATATGTATGTATAAAATTTTTCATAATAAAAAGATTTGCATTTTTCTTTTTCCAAATATAGTTTCAGAGACTTCTTGATTTCATCATTCACACTTTGGTTGTGTTAATGGGATTCTGTTCATTGATTTCTTGAAACAATTTTCTAAAATCCAATTTTTGTTCTCAGCACTTTTTTTCTAGTAAGATGTTCATTTGTTCTCAGCACTTTTTTCAGTCAGATGTTCATTTACTATAGCCTCATTTTTCTTCAGAAGACACAATTTTTATTTGGAAGAAGAGATTTAAAGCCATGCATGTCCCCAATTCCTTTAGTTTTCTTGCCAGAAATTGAGAGCCACCAGAAATAATTCTAGGTATTAGTCCTAGAGTTCAGTTTGGATAGACTATACTCGGAAGGTGTACCCTTAGAATTTAGTATCTAATCACTCTGCGTGAATAGTTCAGTGATCCAGAATTTCCCTATAGTGGGTTTTAGGCAGAAATCTGAGCAGGCAGGTCAAATTTTACAGATGGGAGTATGGAAACAACCGAGAGCGAGCAAACAATTAGTGGAAGAGGCGCATTTCAAAGCCTTGGCAAAATGGTGGGTGCAGTGTAGTGGATGGCAGCCACATTAGAAAGGAAAGTAGAAGATTCAGGGCCTCAAAATATGATAGTCCTAGAGAAACTTTGTTACCTCATATGGTAACAAAGGCAAAGGATGTGATTTCTGGAAATGGATTTCAAGAGAGGTTAGATCTCTAGGAACAAGGAAAGAGTTCATTTACTAGGGAAGGCTTGTAAGATGAGTTGGACAGCAATGAGGCTGAGTTGTACTGAGCCTCTAACTCCTAGGACTTCTGAAATATCCCCTTCAACAGGATTGATTGCTTTTCCAGGGCTAATTCTGGCTGTGAAACTAGAGAAGTGTGCACTAGGGGCTGAGTGCGTAATCATACTAAGTTCTTGAAGTAGCAGCCTTTATTCACATGTGTTAATGGATATTGATTGGTAGGTTTGGGTCTGGCAGGCTCTTCTTATTTGGATGTTCTAGGTAGATTGCTAGAACTAATGATCTCTGTGACTGAGTCACAGCTAATCTGGCAGCCCTAGCAAGGAGTTACCAAATATTACTCCCCAATTTTCTTCTCCAGTGCATAACTGTAAATTCCCTCCTGCCTTCCTGCCTTCCATTTGGTGGACTGAGTGAGGGTTTTCCCAGAATGTAGAACCTATATTAAACTGGGGAAGTTACTGGCAAACCAGGATGATTTATATTATAGTACATCTTCTGTAACTAGCTAACATTGTGTGTGTGTGTGTGTGCATGCATGTGTGCTGTGATTTGTTGACTATCTGCTGATACAACTGTGAATTGAGTGTTGTACCTTACATTAAAACTTAAATTCATCCTATAAGTTTGAGTCCTTGGCACAGTGGCTTTTTTCTGTATTGTGATTTAGAGAATAATTTTCTCTAAAATAGAAGAAAATACAGGTCTGATGTGTTAACTGTTAATGTATTTCAGCTAATATTAAATGGCATATGTTTACCATTATTTCCCAAGGAGGATTTGTGTTTATCAAATAAGTTTGTTTTTTAAATAGATATATGGTAAATTCAAGAACTTCTTCTGCAAGAACAACGTAACTTTAAACCAGCTTAATTTCAATATAGCCTGCTAAACTAGCTCACTGGTAAGTAAATTAATGGATTAAAAATAGTCTCTTAAATGTATTTTTTTTTAACCATTTTAGGCTGGTAATAGCTTAAAATCCAATGTGAACAAAGAATGTTAGGGCATTGGAAATAGAACTGACATTGGCCCATAGTTTTCTTCTGATTAAATGAAAGTGACACCAGTAGATTAGAATGAGACTAGGACAATTCACACTGCAATTGTGTTAGTTTAACTTTAACAATCTTTTAACACTCTTGTTTAAATGTAGCTGACATACCATAATTACAAATCTACAAGTCTTGATTATAGAATTTTACATCATGAATCTGTGGGGAAATGGTATTGATTTTTTTTTTTAATAAAACAAACACCTTTCCCAAACTGTGGCATCTTCCCAAGTTTTATATCTCTACCTCTGGTATACAGCTGTGTATGATATATACTTTGTACAGCAGGCATAAAAACAAATGAAAACTAAGTAAAATATCCATGTTACTAAATATATATTTATATATATAATGTTTTACTGAACACTGAATATCCATGTTGTACTAAGATTAAAGTGAAAAATGTGACACATATACTTACATAAACATAGAGATACAGTTTTACCCTCTTAGCTTTAGTTCATATATTTCCCATATTTAAAGTAATGATGGATAGAAGTATCGTGGACAATGTCTGGAAGATGTTAAGGACATATGCCCTGTTAATTTTCTGTAAGCTTTAGGAGCTTTGTTAATCTTTTGTTCTTATACATATACCTCTTTGATTTCAGTGAAAGTTAGTTCAGCCAAAATAACCAACTTCCTATCTTGAAATTTAGCCAAGTTCTTTTGGAATTTCTGTAATGTATCCAGTTCCCCAAAGTGATGGTCAAAGGCAGTGTCCAAATGGATTGCAGGTGGTCAGCTCTTCACAACTTTATGCCAGCTACTTGGCAAGCAGTGACTCTTAGGAGCTACACAGCTGGTGACCAGATGTCTCTTCAAGCTGGAAAGGGAGAAAGCTAAGGCCACTCCTGACCAGGTTTCCCCAAACATAAGCTATATTATTGTGCAAATTAAATGTGGAAATGAAAGATCTTTTGACCTGTGTGTGTGTGTGTATATGTGGATGTG